TAAATGTGTCAAAATAGACACCTACTGTGAAATCAATCATCTGAACTAACCAGATATAGGAACGATTAAAGAGAGGTGCTGTATCAGTTATCTTCACTTTCATCTCCCAACAGAGCAGTGTGTGTACTTAAGCTCTGACCTGAAGCCACAGCATGGCAGGGTGAAGAGACGGAGCAGCGCCAGCAGCACCCTGAGGGGCAGCAAGGTGAAGATGTACAGGAAGGCGTCGGCACACAGGAAGAAGCCGAAGATCATCAGCTGGAACAATCACATAACACCAGTCAGGAGGAGGACGGTCAGTGTAAACAGAGTGTGTTTTATAGAAACCAAACAAAACCTACACGGTGGTTTATAGACAACAAAATGGAGTGTGAGACTGCTTTTCTGACTTAGAGCAGAAAACAGTGATGTCATACCTGATCGTCTTCTCCAGTTGGGAGAAATGAAAGCTAACAGCCATCAGAAGTGTCAGGGCTCTACAGAGTAAATCTAGTTATAAAGCAGTAGTGGCTTCAAATCGGACTACTGACTAAGCTGACAGTGTGTGAATGTGTGTGTGAATGGATGAATGATGCACTGTAAAGCGCTTTGGAGTCCAGAGAGGCGCTATACAAGTGCGGGTCACTTATCATCATTTAATAACAGGATTTGGGGGGAAGATAGTTCTCATATTTATTCTGTTACATTTCATCAACCTGGATCTAGTTAATGTCTTGATTAGTAACATCACCAAGATCTTATAAGTTATATACATTTCTGAGCAAAGCTAGAAGATGGTTGTTAGGGTCCATTTAGCTGTAGTACTAAAACAAACCTTTATGTTTCAACAGTGCCATCAAATGTGTAACAAGAACAAACACAACAAACACTTTAAATACCTGATTACAGTAAAAAGACATTGGTGTGTTTGACTGGTGGCACCAAATATGTTTATTTTATTAGTAGCTAATGTCAACATTATTACTGAACAGTGATTTCATTTGTCTAAAATAAATATTACAAAGTTCACTCATTTTTTCAACACATTTTCAGTGTTCTCAGTTATAAATGAATGCCTTGAGAGTTGATCTCTGTGGAGAAAAAAGCTCTGGACTCCTGTGTCAGAAAGCAGAAGTGAGGGAGATGAGTAGGGAGCTAAATCAGCAGGACTTGGAGTTTTACTCAACATTAATTCTTGATACTTATCCATCTCACCTCTGACTGGATAACAGCAACAAAACTCTACCGCTGACTCTGTTTGCTTTGCAACTCTGATGACTTTATCTCCAGAAATAACACAAGTCTGGAGGAGTTCTGCTGTGCTGTAGAGTTGCTAAAGCTCAGTTAGCTTCTATTAGTCGAGATGTTTTCTGCTGTTTCCTGGACACTAAATCAAGTCTTCCCCTTCATGAGTCGAGATGGGTGAGTCCATGAATGTTAAGTGAGAGTGTGATGTAGATTTGTCAAGATTTTCTCTTCAGAGCGTTTCACCATCTATTTTTTATCAGAAGCTAATGCAGCAGATCGGTGTAGGAGACTATTTTCATGTTAGGCCTGCATGTGAAACTCACAGACACTAATCATATTTATAAAATAACAAGTAAAAAAAAAAGTTTCTCTGTGAAGTTTGTCTTTAGAGACAATACAAGAATGCATCAACGATATTAAAAGTAGATTAATTTGATAACGTGAGAAATCCTGACCAGACCTTGGTGGGTTTCTGCCTGTCAGATGCTTACTATAAAGAAATTAAAGTAATCTCATTTACATTTAAATAGTCAATCAGGTCAGTGCTGAATATCCTGATGGTTTTATGAGGTTGAGGAGTGATTCAGCTTTCTGGCTGTCTGAGGTAGTCAGCCTTCTCTGTTCTGCTGGAGGAAACAGCAGATAGAGGGAGACTGAGGAAGAGAGAAGAGGTCAGGGCTGTTAATGTGCATTACCTTCTCCAGCTCCTTGGGAATTCGCATGCATGTGTAAACTCTCTCCCTGCGCTCTGTGTACTTTGCTTCATTGTGTTCCAGGAAGTAACCTCTGGTGAGTTCTGCACAAATGAAGCGTGTCAACGACGGATCTGGAACAACAACGGGGCAACAGGGTTACCATAAAGCTATTATATGCTTCTACTGTAGCAGTCTGCACAAAGAGTCCAACACCAGCAGCGAAAATGGAAGAAAGTTCTCCAACTAACAAGACATGTATCTATGTTTTTATTACGAGCATCATCAATACGACTTTGTTATACTTACCTTCCTACTGTGAGGTAGCGGTGCTACTCACTGCCCACTATGCAGATCTCTAAATCTAGCATGGTGCAAAAACACGCGGCTTAAAGTAAACATACCATCTAAAGTCACACCAAAAAGGCACTAGCTTAAGTTGGTGTAACTCTACTCCAGCGTAAACTGTTTTTCTGGTGCAGATCAACAGATTAAACAAATGATAATGACTACAATGTCTGTACTTTACACTGGTTTGTATTTACTTAGCTGAGATCAGATACCTGCAAGATCAAGGTTGATCAAGCCAGATTACTGGAAGTGCCTGCAATGTTTGTTTTGATCGGTTCTACTCTGCCCTCAACACTATAGTTCAGATGAAGCATGGCCAAGGTAACAGCAGCTTACACATTAAGCTCTTGATTATTAGTGTTAAAATGCTGATTTATATTTAATGAGACGATAGTCATTGTGTATATTAAAAAAATTATTATTTGGCAATCCGAAGGTGCACAACTGTATGGATTAGAAAACTGCCAACCGTGCATTCATTTCTGCCTTATTTGTGAATACCTCTTTGAACCATGTTCATCATGTTTTCATTTCTCATCTACAGTTTAAATCATGAACATGTCACTACTTTAGCAGGCAATCAAAACTTTTTATTTTTAGACTGGATTTTCTTTATATGCACAATAAAAGTAGATACATAATCTAATCCTTGCTTAGATTTTTCTATTAACTAAACATTTGGACCTTTTATCTGTAATCTCTCCTTTATAACTTATGTCAATAAAGCATATATTTGCAAAAATAAATGAAATGACTTTGATTGGTATGTTAAATCTGATGTCATGTGATGGCAACATCACTTGGAAAGGAAGTTGTATAAAACAATGTTGCTGCATGCAGTAAAAAGGTGAGCACATTTGCTAAAACAGAGGTGTCCAAATTGCCCCTGGGGGCCCAATATCCTGCATATTTTATGTTTACCTGCATTAATCCTCTCGGGTTTTGTGGCAGCCTTAATTGCCCATTAATTGCTGTGACTCTACAAAAATATTAATGTGTTTTATATATCTTAAATAATTAGTTAGTATTGTTGTTGAATCAAATGAGATGTGCTGGACCACATAAATGTCTAAAACATGCAGGACAGTGGTCTTTTATGACCAGGAGTGGACAGAACCTCACTAAATTATTCAGCTACATAATTGTTTTTACATTTAGTCTCCAAAGGGTCAGACTCTTTTAAAGTGGTCGTATGCACCAGAGGTCTTTTACATTTTCTTTTGTTAAATGTGGTTGTTATTTGATGCTTATTTCTAATCTAGTTCCTAAATCTGATTGTTATTGAATACATTGTTCGACTCTGACCTATGAATAATTCAGATTTTAAAAGCTTCCACCCGAGATGTAGCAAAAAATAACACGACTTTGTCACAAGTGGCTTCAAAAATGTGCAACAAAGGTACTATTTTTGAATGTCAGATAATGAGATCACTGACATGTTTAAAAAGGCGGGTGAATTATAGACGTCCTTGTGACAGGCAACTGGTAAAAAATACCTATAGAAGCCATTTAAAACGGATCACATGTCAAGCTGTTGATTGAACACCTATATTAGGTCTTGGTAATGTGTTTGTATGTGCCTGCAGATGGCTCGTTTTCTAGTGTGGTAAAAAATATACTTATATATTTGCAATTATTACTATTTTCCCTTCATTTGCTATTATTAATGGACATAGTTTCCGTTAGAATACATGATCTGCATAATAATAATAATAATAATAATAATAATAATTATTATTATTATTATTATTATTATTATTATTATGTCAATGACTGTTAAAAAAACACCTTTATTACATTTGGATGATCGCGTGTCTCAGAACTTTTGCTCAGTGCTGTTACGAAGCCGAATATAATCCCGTCAGAAAACAAACGTTAGTCACATCTGAAATAATGAGAGGCCTAATAAGTTTGTTTTGGGACACAACCAGACATAGATTACGACACGATTCATCATTAGCATATCTGACTGTAAACAAACTGCGCGGCTGTTACTGCACAGCTCGTTTCACTACTAGTTTAGGCTAAACGCTACAGCTGTTGATTGAACACCTGAGTAGTTGGGTCTGTAATGTGACAGCAGAACCAAACAAAACAACAACGAACCTTTAAAACTGTGATGGCTGTAGCTGTGTGTGTATGTGTGTGAACAGTTGGGGAGACCTGGCGGTTACCTGCTGGGAGGTCACGCTGCTCCCTCCTAACAGCACTTAGGTCGTAAAACCCCAACGTCTCTGGCAGCTCCGGTGTTTTCCCGATCTTACCCGACCGGCGCAAGTCCTCCCACGGTCTCATGTGCCGTTTCCTTAGCTCAGTTTTGATTTCTGCCTCGTCTGACAGCTCGGTCCCCGACGTGTCCGCCATCTTTAATGTGGTCAACGGACTCTCTGTGCAACGTCATCGCAGCGTAAAAGAGAAAACCTGACGTCTTTTTAAAACACGTCAACTGGGAAAAAAAAAGGCGGTTTGCTTTTATTTTTCAATGAATAAATATTTAAATTAGTACATTTTCACTTTCACAACTGTTGTTTTAAAAATAATGCAATTAATATATTTGCTAACGTTTCGAGCTCAAACAAAATTAATTAAAATGTATTAATAATGTCTCTGAAAAAACAAATTACTTACAACTTAATGGCAGAATTGGTCCACATTTATATCTAATAATCCGGTCCATAATCACTGAGCTGCGTTCAATTGCAGCACTCATTGTTATCCACTTGGTGGCGCCAACGCTCCACGAGATCGTTTTGGGTTGAAAATCTACCTAACAGCAACTTGTAACTTCCACAGTATGTTCCTGCACCAGGATAAATAATAACACAGGTTTAATAAACCCAATAAACTATTCAAGTAACTCGGGTACATATTCAAACGGAATATTTAAGAAAGAAATTTCATAAAAATAAAAAATGACCTAAAATTATAAAGAAACTGAATTTTCAAAATGATTGCGACTCAAAACAAATCCACATACACAACTCATCTACTGGTGATTATCTGCAGACAAATGCATTAGCTCATTCAGCTGGTACACAGCCTGTTGTGTCTAAAGGAGATATGATTTATCAACATCAATTTAAACTATACAATTACAAAAACACATGAGTTAAATTGAGAACGTTAGATGCTTTTTGTACAAAATCTAACTTTGAATATATTTCATGAATATGTTTTAAAAAGGACATGCACCATTATTTAAGTTCATAAATACTTAAATATTGAGGTATGTAAATGTTGGAAATGTCTATAATCTTAACACTAGCATTGCAGTACATTACATTTTAGACTTCATAGGGGTTTACCAGTTTTTTCTGCTTTTATAGGCTGCAGCCTTTCAAAGAAATTTAACAATCAAATGCATTCAAGCAGCAGCACTTTAGATGTAGTTTGTTCTGTCATTTTCTGTCATTAGATCATAATAAGGGTATAGGCCTCAGCATTGTAAAGACCACTGCCAATGTTTGAACAAAAAAGTTTTCTATTGAAAAGAATGTAAAATTTAATTATTTAGCTGTTACTGCACTCAGATCACAATGAAAATTGGTCACAAATGCCAACCACTTTATGTTTAATCTAACAGAGATTAAGCATCAATGAAATGCTGAGAAAAAAATCCAAAAAACCTATTCATTTATTCATTTTCAAACCCCGCATCATCCTGTTTGGCAATGATGTGGGTTTGCAGTCTTTTGCAAATGAGAGGCAGGGCACTTCCTGGACGTGTTGCCAATTCATCACAGGTTTGACAAAGAGTCAATGACATGCAGTCCATCCCATAAAATAATGAGGTAAATAAAACAGAATTCTATTACCTATGAAGGGAGAAAATTGAAGAAACTAGCAGGTGATGCACGAAACCTCATGATACAATTCAGTTCTGGTAAAGTTTTCTTATGCATTGTTTACAATTGGAAACTGCTCTTTGAGGCGCTATTAAGCATATGAAACTTTGTTGGGTCACAATGACCCAAGAGCCCTAACAACACAGACGCGCGCATGCATGAAGGAGGACGACAGTGTTGGGTCAGCAGGTGTCCACGAGTGGGTGCTGGAGTGTGGACGACCCAGAAACAAAGAGAGTGTCCAGCAAAGTGAACGTCCGGCTGGTTGTCTGGTGGACGAACAGGGAAGAGCTCAAGCACTGGACCGGATAGAAAGTTGTGGATCTATCTGAAATTAATTCAAAGTCTGGATATTCCCATTTCATCCTGCAGGGAGTGGCACTCCCAACTTTCTTCCTTGTTTTCCTCTCTTCCAACAAGAACACACGCACTAGCTCAAGATAGCGCTGACAGTAGCTTGGACTATCGTTGGTCGGTGGTTAGTATTATCTCTCTCTCTCTCACACATACACACACACACACACACACACACACACACACACACACACACACACACACACACACACACACACACACACACCAAATAAGAAGTCGCCACCATTAAAAAAAGTCACACTGTAATATTTTGTTGGACCACCTTTAGCTTTGATTACAGCACACATTTGCTGTGGCATCGTTTTGATAAGCTTCCACAATATTACTAGATTTATTTCCATCCAGTGTTGCATTCATGTTTCACCAAGATCTTGCATTGGTGATGGTAGTCTGACCGCTGCACAAAGCCTACTCCAGCACATCCCAAAGATTATCAATGGGGTTAAGGTCTGGACTCTGTGGTGACCAATCCATGTGTGAAGCCTATTTGAGCCTGATGAATACATTGCCATGTTGGAATATGCCCGTGTCATCAGGGAAGATGGAACACACTGGTTATTCAGTATATTCAGGTAGTCAGCTGACCTCATTCTTGGAGCACATCCTGTTACTGAACCTAGACCTGACCAACTGCAGCAACCCCAGATCATGACACTGCCCCTACAGGCTTGTACAGTAGGTACTAGGCATGATGGGTGCATCACTTCATCTGCCTCTCTTCTTACCCTGATGCACCATCACTCTGGAACATCTGGACTCAGACCAGTTTTTAATAATATTTTTCACAGTTCTTAATCCAATTTTAGTCGTTTCTGCAATCTCCTTAAATGATTCCTCTTCTTGATGCATGATTTGACCCTTCTCAAACAGACTAACGTCTATTCCACGACTGCCAGATGTGTCTTTTCACATGGTTGTTTAAGAAATGAGAAGCAACTCATTGCACCAATTGCATAAGAAAAAAAAAACATAAGAAAAGCGTAGCATACACACAAGTGTTACTTAGTCAAGTTCAGCTTCTTTGTAAGCATGGTTTATTAGCACACATAATGGTAAAGCATACATACCAGACATCAGATATGACACTGAACACCTCTGCTATATAATGTACAAATGGTGTCTAATAATACTAGGCTCAAACATATTTAGAAATGTGTTAGCTTCCTTACAAATGCACAAATAAATACCCAATATCCAGTTGTATAAAGACATCTGTCATTGTCTTCTTGTCCATTTTTTAACAACATTTTAACAAAAAGATTGGGGGTATACCTAAGTATAAATTCAAATAAGGATTAAAGAACAATCGTGAACACAAAGTCAGGGATCTTAAAGCATTTCTGTTGGGTGGATGGGATTGTATCTCATTTTTTAATATAAAATTAGCTTCTTATTACAGTTTGTCACAAGGTACTGAATAAATATGATCAGTTGAATGTTTTTATTTACCTTTGTGGCTTTGGTTCTGCACTAGCTAGAGAGGACAGGGACCATCACATCCTCAACCACCCCACAGAAATCAGAACCTCTGGTACAAAACAAAACAGCTGCCATTTCCAAACTGCTCTCAGTGGTTGATTTACAGTGGACAAAAGAGATTCCACCTCTATTTACAGAGCTACAAACCTTGTTACAGTGTTCCCAAACTGATGAATACAAAAAGAGAATCCGACTGATGAGTTTTAAAAAGCACATTTATCAAACCAAATGAAATTCATACAAAACCATGCAGGAAAATGTTTTAATCAGTTTGGGAGTAGGTCATTAAAGGGAGAGAAGTCAAATTTTCCAGGAAGAAGAAAAACGTAAAATAAAACCAATGCAGTGATGTCTGTTGACGAAATTCACATACTGATCAGGGAAATTACAATGTGACTGAAAAAGGGTTGTGAAAGAAGCAAAATAGCATTAGGGTACGAATACAATCAAATTGGCTTGCGTGGAATCACAATCTGTGAAGACTGCAGTCGTGTGAAGATGGCAAGAGTTTCCCTCGTTTAAAACAAAAGCCCATACTGGTAGGGAACTTTTCATTTCTACTTAATTGGAAATGAAACTGGAGCGACAATAGAAACAAACCAACGGCCGACTGAATTTCCAATAAAAAGCAATTGCTTCTAAGGTTTCATTCATGGGAAGAGCCTTCCATGGGTTTTGCTTGCTGTCCTGAACCACCGTCCTATTTCACAGACATTTTGTTTGTTGTTTTTACTCTTTTTTCCCCCCTTCCAACTGTCCTCAGTCAAAGTGATGACTTGTGACCCGCAGGTCAACCTATCACAGCTGAGGTATTCCTCCAGACAAGAGGTTTGCTTCAGGTATCAGAAGGTTCACAAAGAAGAATTTGATCTGTAATTTTCCACTGCATTCATTAAAGAACAAAAGTCCCCCTTCTGCTTTGCTGTTTTTTACATTAGTTTACATACGACTTGTATGCATTTGTTGTCTGTAGACACTGCTGAGCAGTTGGGCGAGTTCCCAGTGTTCTCCTTGGTGTTACAATGACCCAGAGAAGAAGAAAATATCCCAGACGGACATATTTTGGCTAGACGGGCCAACAATGAGTTTGTACACAGGGCTTCTGATTCAGTATAATGTTGTAAAAGAAGTGCCCTCCAGAGAGGAGGGGAGAGGTCTGAAAGTCTAGTCCACATGGATGCAATGGTCTGGTTCTTGTTTGTTCTGCTCCTGCGCGTGTTTACTGTGAGGGTTGTGGTGCTGTGCTCTCTGGCTTGCTGTCCTGGGTGGTGGGGGGTTTGCTGCTCCAGGGGGCGTTGTTCCCCAGAGCCGGGGAGCTGTTGAAGTCATCCTCATCATCCAGGCCATTGGTGGCGTCGTACTGCGTGTTCTCCAGACGAGTGATCAGACGCTCATCCTCGTCCCCGAACTCGCCGCCCATCAGGGTCGGCTCGCCAACCACCATCACGTCCTGTAAAAATGAGGACAGAAGGAAAAAATGTATTTGACATCTTTCTGTTTAGTGTTTACGCAAACTAAAAATTCTACTACCTCTAACAGAAGCCGATCTTTTATCTTAGACCAAAGCGCCATCAAGTAGACCCAGATTGACCTAAACAGCACCACTATCAGCTCGGACACTTTTCTACATTTTCTATTCAGAAGATATTTTTTAACTACGGAAGAGGATTAGGGCCACTGAAAAGAAAAATTATTCTGACGTTTTTCTCAGAAATCTGACTTTTCGACTTCTGAGAATAAAGCCAGAATTATTAATTTTTTTTTAGTGGCCCTAATCCTCTTCTGTATCTACCTCAAGCAGAGGTACCAATAACTTTAACCATTTTTTTTCTTAATGCAGACCCCCTGCCTTCACCGGAACAGCAGCTTCTGTGTGTGTGTGTGTGTGTGTGTGTGTGTGTGTGTGTGTGTGTGTGTGTGTGTGTGTGTGTGTGTGTGTGTGTGTGTGTGTGTGTGTGTGTGTGTGTGTGTGTGTGTATTTTAGTGTGTTAAAGATGAGCGCTGCTGTATCCAGTGAACCCAGCCGCATGGTCAACCCCGCTCAAAGCTCGCTGTGCAAATGAAACCTTCCTGTACAGAGAGTGGATTCCCCCGGTGCTCCACACCCGCCCCAATCAATACTCATCATGTAAGACATATTTCATAGAGATGGTCCTCCCACAGCAGGTCATGGAAGGGAAGAAGAGAGATTTATCCATTAGCTACTGATATGTGACTCATGTAACGTCAAGGCATCCTGATGCAGAGGGAGGCCCACGAAATAACTTTTATTTAGCCTTGTTTATTATATTTTTTTAATTCTCCAGGACAAATAATCACTAGCGTTTATTTTGTGAATTCAGACACCAATCAATACATTTTCAATGATGGCTTTGTTTGTTTATGAGTCTTTGTGGTGTTGTTAATTTTTTCTTACTGGGGAGCATCAACACCTATGGTAAGCTGGAAAGAAGCTGTACAGTTAAACGGAGTGCATGCTTCACTGGCCAAGTGTGTCAGCGCTGCTTGGTTGGGAGATCTCACTCTCCTCAGCATCTCCTCTGGAATAAACACACAAAAGTAACGCACGTGCACTGGACACAAGCCAAGATAGGCCTACTGTACAGTCACATCTTCTCACACAATAGCACACAAAGGCAGATTAATCCTTAGTGTGTTGTTGATGATAAACAGGAGCCAAAAACACTCGAGCAGGTACGGTCCTGTACATGAAACACACACACAACTAGGCAAGCTTCCACACCCCGACTTCACCAGCAAACGGCACAAACTTTGATGGGAATCACAACGAGGCATCTTCAGCCCCTCCCAGCGACCACTTCCAGGCCTCTCAATGCCTTAATCAGGCTAATTAATTTAGGTGAGCTTTTCAACTAAATGACAATATCCACACTGATTTGTCAATTTGCATAGCTAATTAAGTCATTAGCTAAAAATGTACTGATTGCCAACAAGCCTTGCATTCACCATCTGTTCCTGTGAGGAGGCCTGTCAACCTACCTCTGGCCAATTTTAGGCAACCCCCCTCCTCCTGAAAAACAAAAATCCCCCTGACGATAACAGCTGGTGGCTAGTCTGGGACTGGGGGGTGCTAATTGTGAACTAATTAATACTGTCTACTCGTCTACTCATCTCGTTAAGAGTTAGCTTTTGCACTAGCTGAGCGAGGAGGCTTTGAATGGGTCGCCGCGGTGCAGAACGCCTCCCTGCTCTGTTGGTTCACTGAGCAGTGTCATTAACATGTTTTCACAGAGATTAGCAGAGGGAAGCGTGGAGGACATATCTGCTCCTTGGGACTCTGGAACAAAAACAAGTGGGAATTTGGTGGGATGGAAATGACAACAAGGGGAATACAAACAGGTGCTACAGTTCCTAATGTTGTTGTTGATCTTCATTGTGTTCACCTCACAACAGGTTGGCTTAAAAATGACAATCTGTGCTATTTTATTAAAGAAACATCACATTGTGTGTGTTTTATCTCTGTTCCTGAATTTTTGACCGAGTTATGTATAAAACCGCTTCTAAACCAGGGCTGTTGATCCTCTGTAAAGAACAGGTTAGCACAGAGAAATGTGTCTGAGTTGAATTAGACTTGCGTTTTAAAATTGTTAAAATTTATTTTGACTATAAAAACAGACATTATTCAGTTGGCCTTAAGAGTCCTGGATCTGTTACTGAATGCATTTTAATGATGTTTTGTGGAAGCAAGTAAAACATCGCCATAGGCTTGGGTCGTTAAAGAGAAAACAAGGGGCAATTTACATTTTTCAAACTGAAAATGTCTCATGTAAAGAACAAAAGTTGCAGTGCATGCATCCGTTTCTTTGTGATATCCCACTCCACGAATCACACATGAGTTCCTATTGTTTAGATTGTTTGATTTAAACAGACGAAATGATAAATACTTTACAGTAGAAGAGTAAACAGCTCGTTGGTGGGAATGACTCATTGACAAACTGAAATATATTGGGCGCTTTAGTGAGTAACTACAATAGTCTGTTAAATAATGAAGCATTTTCATTTTGAAGTCTGGTTTTGTGGCCACTAGTCACATTTTCATCCTTTTTATTTGATCCGACATTAATAAAATACACGATATTCAAAGCTGAAATTACATTATGAAGCAAGGCTAATACCTGTGACCAGAATGTGTGAGGAACAAAGCTGATTTCAGTCTCAGAAGTGAGCAGACGCGTTCTGATCTGCTGGGTGAAGCGTCACATTTAGAACTCGCATCACTAGAGGTCAGTGTTGCTCATCCAAACAACAGCCCCACCACCTTGCCTTCCCTCCTCCAGCCGCTGGTGGTTACCCCCCCACCCCCCCAAACCACCACACACACACACACACCATAGCGAGGGTCCACTCCTTATTGTTATTAGACTCACGTAGGCTGATGTTCAGCCACAAACGAACAACTTCTCAGACAAAGGCAACAGGCGCGCAACATATGTAGCCAGCATGTTAGCAGCCATGCACGCTGCTGTCTTTAAGAAGCATGTGAAGTTGTGTTGTGTGTGTGTGTGTGTGTGTGTGTTTGTGTGGGTAGGTAAGGTGATGGTGGTGGGGAGGAAGGGGGAGCTGGGGGTGCAGTGATGGAGCAGAGGCTGAGTATGTGAAGGAGGAAGGGGCTGGGGAAGGGATGGTGGGGGGTGTATACAGATATGGGTGATAATGAGAGCTGGCACAGAGCCACGCTGCCTTCTAGAGAGAAAACAATTTGTGCATGCTGTGTGTATATGTGCATGAGATGTACATAATGTGTGTGTGTGTGTGTGTGTGTGTGTGTGTGTGTGTGTGTGTGTGTGTGTGTGTGTGTGTGTGTGTGATGAAGGGAAAATGTAAAAGAACAGGGCAAGGCCAACAAAAAGATACACACAGCACGCCATGCTACAGTAAATACAGAAGATCAGTGCAGAATGTGTGACCTGGGGGTTGTTCCTTCCATAAAACTACAATCAGAAAAAAAAAAGAAATAGAAACTGAAATAACTCTTCAAGAAAAATGTCCTCCTGTTTAATTAGCTTTTCTAGTAATACATTACTCTATTTTCCAATTCTTAAAACATGAGCAACCTTTTTTTTCCCTATTTTTAGACATCTTAAAGGACTTGGATAAAGTTGGAGGAAATACTGGTGCTAAAACACCTCTAACTGCAGGGCTTTAAATATGTGCACACACCACTTTCCTTTTCAGCTTTTCCCATTAGGCAATGTATTCCTTTATTTCTATCTATATTGTCCAGTAATCAGAGGTTTGTGGGATCAATCCCGGCTCCTGGCAGAGAATTCTGCTGTTGTGTCCTTAAGCAAGACACCTAATTCTCCTTGCCTGCTGGTGGTGGTCAGAGGTGGCACCGGTGGTGCCTGTGCTCTGTCAGTGCACTCCAGGGCAGCTGTGGCTATGATGTAGCTCATCATCACCAATGTGTGAGTGTGTGTGTGAATAGATGAATGATACACTGTAGTGTAAAGCACTTTGGAGTCCTCTGACTCTGAAAGTTGCTACACAAGTATCATTTATCATATTTCAGGTGAACACAATAAAAAATCAGGGTACAAAAATAAAATTATATACATTGGGGCATCATATTAGACCAGGCAGCAGTATTGTACAAATTATACAGAAGAACCATCAGCAGCCTTAAATTTCTCATTAACCTGAATTACACCTGATGGATGCTCAGTAATGCCCACCAGTGACCCTTTAACGTCAACACATTCTTTTATGTTTTGTATCAGGGCACTTTTCTGCAGCACCAAAATGATGTGGGCTCAGGAACAGCGATGTGCTGCATGCGCGCGGCTCTAGAACAGAAAATTGGATGCCGTGGAGTAAATGTAATACAGCATGTGTATAATGAGCGGTGCACGGTATAAAAGTAGAGCCTCTGCAGACAATGGCATCAAATCCTCAAGGGGAGAGAGAGCCAGGCATGTGCTGTAACACTGAGCTGTTTAGGAAGCAGTTTAACCTTTAAGTGTGTAAAGTGACCTCTCATAAAGACATGATGTGGCTAAATCAAACATTTCTACCCGGAAACACGATTTAAACCTGGGGATCTATATAAAAAAAGAATGTAGGATTTTTGCATTTGTTCAACAATGTTATCCTAACAGTTTACAGTTTATTTACACCAATCCATTCATGTAAGACTTTCTAATTTATGATGCAGTAAGTTGATTTATTTACAGATAAAATAAATGTGATTATTGATGTGTTCATTAACAAATCAGAAATCATGGCAAGATGGCGCCAGCGTGTTCGGCAAGCCGTCTGCTGTTCTCTATTTTTTTTAATTTTTTCGCTGTTCCTATGTTTTGTGGTTAATGTTGGGACTGCTATCCTGACTTATGACCGTGCCAACCTCCTGGATCTTCGTTCGCCTTGGCTCCCTGGCCAGGATTACCACCACTACCATCGCGAGACCCTGCAAATGCTGCGCTCCACTATTCCAGCCTCTCTGTGGAGAGTCCCCGGGCCGTTGTGGTTCAGGAAGCGGAAAAATTGCTAGCATCCGGGCTCAGATTTGTTCTCCCTATGTCACTAGTGGTCCTGAACCCATTCTGCATCGGTCTCTTGATAACTTTGACTTACTTTCTTTGTCCTCTCTTGAGAACCTCCTGTCTGCCTTGAAGCCGTCAGGTTCTCCGGTTGACCCTGTCCCTCCACACCTCCTTAAAGAGACATATTCTGTCACTGGCCCCCTTTTGCTGAACACTATTAACAACAGCTTATCCACTGGTGTTGTACCCCGTGCTTTTAAACATGCAGTAGTTCAACCCGTTCTGAAGAAGCCTGGCCTTGACACCTCTGTTATGAGGAATTTTCGCTCGATCTCCAAGCTTCCATTTCTATCAAAACTACTAGAGCGTGCTGTTTTTAACCAAACTATTTCTTATCTAGATGATCATGGTATAATGGATCCCTTCCAGTCAGGATTCCGATCCCTCCATAGCACTGAGTCAGCTCATCTTCGTGTTTTTAATGACATTTGATTAACCCTTGACTCTGGTTCTAATGTATTGCTGGTTTTGTTGGATCTATCGGCTGCTTTCGACACGGTTGATCACGCTATTTTGCTGACTCGGCTGAACCAGCTGGTCGGCATTCAGGGACTGCCTTAGATTGGTTTAGGTCCTACTTCTGTGACCGCAGCTTTAATGTTATGATGGGTAGTGCTGCCTCCCCCTCTGCAGCTTTGGCTTGTGGTGTTCCTCAGGGCTCTATTCTTGGACACCTTTGATTTAATTTATATATTTTGCCCCTGGGTGACATTTAAAAAAAAAACACCACATTGACTACCATTATATGCAGACGATTGCCAATCATATGCCTCTGTGAAGCCTAATGACTCCTTACAGCCCCTTGTTGAATGCTGCAATGATGTGAAGAGCTGGCTGTCAGAAAACTTTTTTTTGCTGAACGACGCCAAGACAGAGGCCATCATTTTCAGCCCTAAGACTTCTCAAAGTCCCCAGCTGACCCGTCCTTTTATCACAACTGGGTTGAAAACCCATGTCACAAACTTAGGGGTTGTGATGGATGCTAAACTAAAAATGGACATTCATGTCAACCAGGTAGTTAAGCGTCTCTCTAAAGTTAAGCCCATTTTAAAAAGGCGTCATCTCCATTCAGTTGTCCATGCATTCATTACTTCCCGTCTCGACTATTCTAATTCAGTGCTCTTTGGTACCTCCTCCTCCACTCTCGCTCGACTTCAGCTTGTGCAGAACGCAGCAGCTCGTTTCTTGACTGGCACCAGGCAGCGAGAACACATCACACCGGTTTTAGCAAATCTCCATTGGCTCCCCATCCATCGCCGGATAGAGTTTAAGATCCTGGTTTTTGTATTTAAATCCCTCAATAACTTAGCACCTGGCTACTTGTCTGAGCTCATTCATCCTTATGTCCCTACAAGATCCCTCCGATCAGCCGACCAGCACCTCCTACATGTCCCTAGCTCCTGCTGTAAATCCCGCGGGGAGCGCGCCTTTTTGGTTTGTGCACCGAAGCTCTGGAACCACTTGCCCCTCCTGATCAGACTCTCTTCCTCTCTTTCCCTTTTTAAGTCTCGTTTAAAAACTCACTTTTACTCGTTGGCTTTTAATTCAGTCTAACTTATTCTCTTTCTCCTTTTCTTTTCGAGTTGGATTACTCGATTTTAATGGTTTTAGTTTTTATTTTTGATTGTTTTTATTGTGTGTTTTTGTTCAGCACTTTGGTCGGCTCTCATGCCATGTTTAAATGTGCTATACAAATAAACTTGGTAAGGTATGGTATAAACATTCATACTGATTAGGTGCAAATGCAGGCAAAAACATGCTTCCTCAACATTCTTTATAAAATGCTGTTATTTACAACTTCAATCATACATTTATTACATTTGTAAAATTAACATATTTGAGACGCTTTGGCCTCAACCACAAAGGCTCGAGCAGCCTGGCTGAAATTTCTCTTTGGGCTGATCACTAAATGATGATAGAAACTATATTTGTTACCATCTTTTGTTTTTTTAACCCACTGTGAAAAGACCTAGTTTGGACGTCCTACAGACGTGGTCTGGACCGACAGACTCCATATAGACATGATCCATGCGACTTTGACTGTTAGCAGGGATCTTACATCTAAATAGAGACCCCTAGAAAGATCTATCAATGAATGACTAATACACATTTAAAGAGTCTACCTATAATTCATAAGCATGGTCCCAGCATAATTTTAGTAAAACCATTAAGTGTATATAGCCAAACTAAGGAAAGAAAAGTGCAAAATGTTGATAGTTTGTGGCATTAATTTTGTATTTTTTATTTTTGTTTTTTTTTAATCAAGACTCATGGGCACACACAGAGTGCATATTAAATGTCTTGGTTTCATCGAATTTAATGAAAAATTTGAATATGTTGTTAATTTACATAAACAATTGGAAATTATTCTAATTTCTGCAACATTTTCTATTTTCTCACAAATAAAATTGACAATTTCATAAGAGTTAACTGGATTGGCTTCAACTTCAGCCAGACCCACCTGGTTCAGGGATTATAACCCCGACCTTCACTATCAGCACTTGTGCAGCTGAATCTGGAGACGAATATAAAGTTTAGACATAACAGTTGATCTGTGTTTTACTTCTTCTCTGCTCGATAAGCAGTAGTACGCTGCACCAAACTGATCTCTGAGTAAAGACGCAGCTCGACATCTGTCCAGTTGGGCAGCTGCTGAGTTCACTGCCTTGCTCAAGGGCATGCTCAGTGTAGTGGCTGTGAGAGTTCGAAGTGCCACTTTAACCACCCACAATTTTTCGTTTGCTCTCCAGATTCAAACTTGGTTGTTTTTATTTAAACCTCTAGGCCACCTGGATGAGCAGCACGGCTCTGCTTTAAACCAGCATATTCTGAGAGAGCTGCAGAATTATTCTGAGAAACAAAGAGAAAACATTTAAGAGACAAACTAGTTAATCACAAAACAACCTGCAGCAAAGCAGCAGAGAAAATCGTAGAATTCACTTCCTTTGGTTGTTGTTTAGAAGAATGTTTTTGTAGAATTTGCTTTGATAGCTTCGATTGTCATTTGTGTCACTTTTTCTATACTTGACGTCAGGCCCCTAGAGGGTCTTTTGTCTCAACACACAGGTTTGAGCTGGTTCTCTGCCCTCTCCTTCAGGTGCTTTTCTTTCATTTGTGCAAATAAATTAAACTTTAATAGCTGCAATACAATTAGGAATTTTTGGTGCTTGCTTGTTCCCGGCAAACATCCAACTGCAAAAATAGAAAGCAATTAAACCCGCTTTGTAAAATATTTCAAAGCCCAACGATTAAATGTAAAACTGAAATAAATAAAAGAGGAGCAAACCGAGTGGAGCTGATGCTTACAGGTACCTGACTGGAGAGGCTGAAGTTGGTGGCGGGACTGCGTTTCTTGCTGCCCGTGGTGCCCACGCTGCTGTTGGCGCTGCTGGCCGAGTTCTTCCGTTTCCTCCTCTTCGTGGTTGTCTGTCGGGCAGGCTCAGCTTTGGCGCGACCAGCAAAGAGAAACAGAGGCCATGCCAAGAACATAACGCATACTGACGGAGACAAGGTGAAGGGGTGTGTGTGTGTGTGCAGTGTGTGTGTACAGGCATTTGATATACAAGCACAAAAAATGGATCCCATCAAAAACATGCTAAAAGGACTGTCCAGGATGATTGTATGCTGTAAAGGCATGCTGAGAGAACACACACACACACACAATCACACACAGAAAAGGGCCTCTACAGCCATAATGCATGCGCTGTTATCTTCAGAGGTGAATCCACACAAGCGTTAACATCTCCCAAGACATGCAGCAGAAAGAAAGAACCCCTGTTTCATTTGCATAAATGCTTAGCAATGATCCCTGATGTTCAATGTGATGCAAATTTGTTAAAGTTCCTCAATAGCAGGAGCCAGAATAAAGCTGCTCTGCAGAGACAAACATATTGTGAGCATTATTAAAGGACTTCACATTTCAATGAGTGTGTGAAATGTTGCTGTATTTACTAAGTTGTGTACAGGTTTCTAACATGCAACAAACAAAACACGTTATTTGTCAGCAGGCAGTTGAGCAGCCATGATGCTCGCATGAGCTCGAGAGTAAAACTGTACTTATGCAGCACGTGGAATGCTATTTTCTCTAAAGACCTAAGACACTGTAAGAGAGAAGATACCTTTTTTGTGATTTGTGGGAAATATTTCCGTTTTGAAGTTCTGTGGGTGTCCAGCTGAAACCGGAGCGAAAAGTAGTTTGTTTTAATTTCACTCAGGTGGTTGAAAGATTTTTTATATAAGTGTAAAACAGGAGAAAATCATAAATGACAACAGAAAAAAGGACCCCCCCCCCCCAAAAAAAAAAAACCAATTACACGAAATTGTTATCAAATGATAGGATACGCTAACCAAAAGTTTTTGTTGTTACTTTTATTAGTGTTTCTCGTGTTTTTACAAGAAGGATATATGCTTTACATAATTTATAAACACAAGATTTTGCAAATCATGCTGACAATTGTTAGAAAACATTATTCTTTTTTTTCTCAAAAGAGACAAGAAGTCTCTGCCATGATGTTCAAAGAGACGCCTGAAAACGAAATACGGTTTTTCGAGGTTCTTTCTAATGGCACAAAAGGAGATGATCTCACATTCATATAAGACAATAACTGAATTCTTTCATAAATACAACTGAAACTCTCAATAAAACCAAAACAATAAAGGGAATGTTTTATCAGAATATCGTCTCGTTTGATTTCTGACTTTGACAGATGTGTGTGTGTGTGTGTGGAAAAAAAAACATGTCTATTGTGAGAGACAATCATTTCTGTTATCCTACTGGCTTCCTTCGATACGAAGCTGGTGACGCACTAAAATCACTTCCATTTCCACCAAAAGGTCTTATCGGGACGTAAATGCAGCCGTGGCTTCCTTCCTGGCAAAATCCCAACCAGTTTCCAAACTGGAGAAGAATCGCAGGAAATGGGGAACAACACGCCACCAATAAGGAAAACCACAAGTTTAACTGCAATCAAGCAACTGTTGGTGTCAAAATTGTAACAAACGACATGAAATAACCTTTTCACACAGGAGCCTCATCGCATTGACTTCAGGTTACTGCATCAGAGTCACCCAGAAGCACAAATAACTAACAATACAGCCAGAAGTCTTTTATATTCATAAAATAATCTGTTTTTTCTTATTCTCTTTTCTTTGAAGAATGTCGTTGACGCTGGGGAGCCACCGGCCGGGAGCTGGATCTACTAGTTTGATTACACCCGGCACTCTTAATTAAAGTTACACAGGTCTGAGTCAAAGGCTTCTTGACTGGAGTTGGTTTTAAAGACATCTCGTCACGCTTCGCTAAGCATTACAGTAATTTGTAGCCAATTCAATGTGTCCAACAAAAAAATCAAATAAATAAAGCTCGGCTTACTCCCTCTCTGGCTTAAGACCGCACAGCCAATTTAAGCTCGGTACTTTTCAGAAACCACCCTTCGAACATCAATCACAAATGGCTGAGAGGCCTGTTAGGATTGGCAGGGTTAAGATTCAAGAGGTACACCTGAATTCTGATTATTTCATATACCTGACAGGCAAAACATATTCCAAGGGATTAAGATGTATAATGACAAACTTGAGAATGTAAATGATGGAATAAAAAAAAAACCTGATAAGAAACATTTATATTTCTCCACGGTGAAGAATGGGGTGAAAAAAGGAAAGAAAAACGGAAAAGCAGAGTAGACGAAGCTGTTTAATCCTAATAAACCTGCTTCTGCCAAATGGTTTTGATGTTCACTATTATATGCCTTTTCAGGATTAATTTACATATCATTTACAGTTCAGAAAAGCAAGATTTACTGATAAATGTAAATATATCTGAAGATGTTAGTCTTTGTGACAGTTCTAGGGTTAATGGATAAACATGAAACGGTAGGTGGTTACCTGGTGGGGCTACCATTCTCTGCCACTTTTGGAATAGACATGTCTTGAGACAGTCCCGGGGGCTAAGGTTGTAGGTCTTGTGCCTTGACATGAGCTCCTGCATGGGCTCCAGGATGACACAAAGCTGCAAGCACAGCAAACCACAAGTTAAGATTTCTGATAAGAGAACCACTGCAGGTCATGTTTAAAACAACAAACCAGAACATTTCTTCACTATAACCATCTACAGACTGACTCTGAGCTGGTTATTAGGAAGAAAAAACTACTTTTTGATGACAGAATAGTGAAATCAAGGTTCATTTTATATTAAGAAAACACTGGTTGAACTTTTGCGTTATGCACAACTTTTGTTGGAATAGTTTTGTTAGGAGGCCTTTAGCGACAAAACTGTAAATCTTGAGTGATCTGGGGACATCCTTTTATCCTAAATACATCAATATTAGCTTGTTATGACAACTTTAAAAACTGCTCAGACTGCAGAAACCTTCCAGGTGACAGTGGAGAGGCATCGGTCTGGAACAGTGTAGCAGTCCAATCACAGGGCAGCAATTCAACCACGACACAGGTTAGATATGTGAGTTCATTAAACGGTTTTCTTAGGCTCTAAAATGAAAAGTGCATTACAGATTTTATTATGTCAAACAGCATTTATGGGATTTCATTATCAGCTTTTTGTTTCTCGTTCCTTCTTTCATGCCCCCTTTTCTTTATGCATTATCAGAGAAATAAAAACGGAATGAGGAAAGAAGGAGGGTGACTCTTTGTTTAAATAGCTTCGAACATTTATGTTCAGTTGGATGTTGGGAAGCAGTTCCAAAAAGCTTTTTGGGCGGGGGTCTTTGTGGGTGGACGTGCTTCGCAAACGGCCTCAAATTTGTGTCCAATTAACTGTAAATGTCGGCTTCATTTAGCAATGCAGCAGAGTCTTTCCATTACAGCAACAGTCACTGTAGTTTTTTTAAGTTCTCCGTTTTCTATTCTCAACTTCAATAAAGCAACAAGAATGGATATGTTTGTTGAGAATGTGTTTTTCTCTTTGTTCTCCTCGGAAAACACTACTTGTTGCTCCAGGACACCCGTTGTCATAAACGTAGATGCCGTTTGCAACATATTGTTAGTCGTTCCTTCCAAAAGCTTGAACTTATCTCGCTACGACTACAGTACATTTTACACCCTGGACACAGTCCTGTTCCCATCTGGCAGGAGGCTCAGATCAATTCGGACCAGAACCTCTCGCCACAAGAACAGTTTCGCCCCCTCTGCGGTCAAACTCACGAACGACACACCTAGGGCTACCCACTCCAGTCGCTTGGCTCCAGTCACCTGACCCGTGTTGTGTTTGTACCTCAGCTGATCCGCTCTGATCTGAACCTACACTGTCTTGCATAGCAGCTGTTTCTCTAAGTACTGCCACTTTATATTATTGTTTACATCAAGATTATATTCTCATTTCCTGTTTTGTCTTCTCTTATTTTGATCTTCCTTTTATGCACCAAGTAACGCAGCAATTTCCTAATGATGTGATTCTTGCACACGTGGCAATAAAACCCTTCTGATTCTGAATAAAACTTTCATTTTCAGACTCTATACACACGTAACCAGGTATCCCATAAAAATCTGTTATTTTTCGATGGTCTGGCCTGTCATCCACGTGAAAGTGAAAATAGACGGCACCAAAATTTTTTCTTTCAAAGAAAAAAACTCAGACCAAAGTGGTGATTTGTCAGCATTTGCTTGTAGGAGTAAATAACCCGCCTTTTGGTTCTGCAACATACCTGCGACAAAAATGCTCTGACATCAAACGCCAAACAGCTAGTTATTCCAGATCCAAGGAATGTTTTTCGGTAAAAGTTGCAGATGATTTAGAGAATTACTGCCACCTACAGGCCTGGCATGCTTCACAATGCGCAGGATTTTTAAGTTGAAGCTAGGTGGTGTTGACCCAGGTGTTTTTCCTAGATGGGCAGAGGATATTTGGTTTTGCAACAACCTGGCTTCATGTGAACATGGCCTGAATTTCTATAATCATTGGAGAATATTGTTTCTTTATGAGCCCACAACTGTTCAATCCTTGAGGACTTATGTCCTGCATGTTTTATTATGTTTCTCCACTCCAACATATCTGATTTGAATTAATGGAGGATTAACAGGATGTTCTGAACAGGAAATTCAACTATCAGGTGTGTGACCGAGATTGGACATCTCTGCTTTACACGGACAAACAGAATTTAATTTCTTCAGTCAGGGGTGACTGACTAGGGTCACTGCCGCTGCACAATGACCAACTATTCAAACATGTTCACAGAGTTTTTATCTTCTAATCAGATTGTAATGTAAGGTCAAACCTGCTGCAGTGACAGTAGGCGTGGGTTTACCAGTTGCTCAAGGGCACTCTCATAATCCTTACAGAGAGAAAGGAGACTGTTAATCATTTTCTGCATGCTCAAATGATCTCATCTGACCTTCAGTTTCCCACCACTCCTAGTTTCTGATGTCAATTCCAATCAACGTGTTATTTTCATCTCAAAACTCTGTACAGAAGCAAAAGAACTACAGGAACGAGATGTATATCATGTACAGTATACCCACTGCTCTGTGTTCAACAGCTTCGGAGGCTTTTCACAACTCACTTGACAACATTGGGAATCCTAGCAGAAATGATGGATGTTCTCCAGGTTTAAAACAACCGTAAAGTCTGCTGCTTACGCCAAATTACCCTACATAAACACAGCGATGTGTGCAGCTTTTCCCTCTGTTAGGATGTCTGTGTTTTGATGCTACGCCGCTAGAGGTAAAGTGAACATCCCCGTGGCAGACTAATCCAGTGTTCTTCTCTGATAGTTCCCTCCTGACACAGTAATATCCCTCCCCAGCTCAGCCAACAAGCCCTGGCTCTTTGCCTGAGAACAAGGGCTATTTTCAGGCTGAATAGTAGGAAGCCAGCAGCTCCGATACATGGAAAGGCTTAAACACAACAAATGGGGAGGAAAACAGTGTGGATGTGTGTTTGACTGTGAGAGAAAAGGCCAGTTGTTGCCCCCCAGCCAGGAAACCGTCAGTCCCTTTTGGAAGGACTGATAAATGCTGGGAAAGGCCTTTTCCAGAGACACATTATTGCTGGTTTAATGTGAGGAAAGGCTATATTTTACCTTGACAACCTCAGATAAGAGTTGTAAAAAATACTTAATTTGCAAATGTTGAATAACATGATCTACACAGCAGTGTTTTCCAACCTGAAGACAAATTCCAAATGGACCTAAAAGGATAATTACCAGAGGTACTAAAACATTTTTTTCAAGATTTATTAATTTATAGTAACATGTAAGAAGATTAAATGGTTTTAAAAAAACCTAAGTTTCTCTTGGTAACTGAATTTTAATTTAATTATATAATAATAATAATAATAATAATAATAATAATAATAATAATAATAATAATGTTATTATTAATAATACCATTCATTTTAGAAAAAGACTGAAACATGTTCATGTATGGGACCAAAAACAATTATTAAGTGATATTTCTGGAGGCATTATGAGTCATGCTGAAGCTATTTGGATACCTTAACTTGTATCATTAAATGGGACTCGTCTAAAGCACAAACAGTTCTATTTTATTAATGGTGATCCTACAAATCACTAAAATATAAACAAAGAGACTGAAACCTTTAGTTTGTAACTGATTGGCATGTGTATTTTCTCTTACAAAAGCACCAAAGTATTTCTTTATTTATATAAGAAATATTGGTTATAGAAAAACAAAAACCTCCACCCTGCTTAGTCGCTCAATATGTGTTTTTCTGCACTTGGTAATAAAAAGCAGTGGAGGTGCCGTTCTCTGGTTAGCGCCATTTCACAATTATGAGTCTCAACAGGGAGCGTTCATTAATGTTATGCTAATTTTCTGCATCCAATTAATTCTTTCCTCTTCCCATTTCTCTCCCGTCCTCTCTTGTTCCCCCATTTAGAAATTGTAGCTGTCAGTCAACTGTGTTGAAAAACACAAACAAAACCCCGTGAAATAATTACTAATGTATTCAGTCATCGGGCTGCACAGTGGCGCAGTGGTTAGAGCTGTTGCCTTGCAGCTAGAAGGTCCTGGGTTCGCTTCCCGGCCTGGGATCTTTCTGCGTGGAGTTTGCATGTTCTCCCTGTGCATGCGTGGGTTCTCTCAGGGTACTACAGCTTCCTCCCACAGTCCAAAAACATGGCTGTTAGGTTGATTGGTCTGTAAATTGTCCCTAGGTGTGTGTGTGTGTGTGTGTGATTGTTTGTCCTGTGTGTCTCTGTGTTGCCCTGCAATGGACTGGCTCTCTGTCCAGGGTGTACCACGCCTGATTGCCCATTGACCGCTGGAGATAGCCCCCCCCCCCCCCTCCCCCCGGCAGTTATATGCAAATAAATATGTACATGTAATAAAGAAGGAATAATTTGTTGTTTTGATGCACTTTACCCCTTTCCTGCAACACTCAAAACATAAAAAATAAAGGAATAACTGCATTTGTTTAAACATTTAAGCAAGAAAAACAGATATTAGGTAAGATAAAACAAAATGTGACAGCTCCATTGCAAAGCATGTAATTCATTCTGACAAGCAACACATTAAACATGACAAAGCATGAATATTCTACATTAAAAAAACAACACTATGCTGTCTAGACATGCAGGTTAGAAATTATGAGCAGGTTCTGCATTTAAACATGGATAACAATCCAATCCTTGGTGTGTATCGTGATGAGATCAGGAGTAAAACAAATGCAGAATGACAGTCGTAAACGTTGTCAGATACACACAAATGCATGCGTTCTGCACTTACCCTGAGGTAGTTGAGGGTGAAGTTGGTCAAACCCATGCGAGTGATGTTTTTGGACAGTTGTTCCAGCACCTGAGGATCTTGTGCCTACAGATAGCAGCAGAGAAATGAAAACAAAGAACAATATGTATGCAGAAAACCTGAATTATATTCACTTCAAACAGACATAAAAATGGATGCTTTATGGATGCTTTGATCGCATGATTTTAAACCTGAATCGATATGTCGTCAATGCATTAAAATAATAAGAAAAAAGGAAAACACATCCAGGTTGTCCTTTAAGATTGTTTTTAATATTATTTATGCATTTTTCTTTCAGTACTTTTGTCACATCAGCGAAAAACATCACTTGCTAAAAGACTAAATTGATAAGAAATGAGTTAATATATGTAAGAGTAGCCTTTCATATTTTTCTTTTACATCCCCATTATGCAGCTGTATTGAGAGATGCACATTCCTGTGAATAGGCAGGCATGAGATGCCATGGCCAGCAGACGTACTTTTCTTTCCACAACACCTGTAGCTACCGTGGGCAGCTCAGGTACTGCAGGAGACTGAGAAACCTAGATGTAATGCTGTCCATCTGCAATTTCTCTTTGTTTATTAGCACATCTTTGAGTGTTGGCTGGCACCGTGGTTTGTCCGAGCATTATTGGCAGAGTAGGACTTAATGGAGACAGGTGTGGCAACCTCTGAACAGAAAAGCTAAGTTTGTTAGACGGCAGATCACGCAGCTCTGTCTTTTCCACCAAGCGAAAAGCTCAATATGCACACATTACAAGTAGCTACTGTACTCCAGTTTAAAAGACGTCCAAACTGAGAATATTTTCACTCTCCTGAAGACACAGCTCCATGTTTTGTGTCTGCCGTAAATTGTGAGACGTTATGGTGTTGTTGTCGTCCAAGAAACAAATAATATGGTTGTATAGGAACTTGTTGAGATTAAAACTAAGTCAGTGCTATTCCCAATGAAATAGAAAATTCATGTTTGTTGTTTTAAAAGGTACAATCTGATCTTTTTTTAATACTTTGAAAATCACGTGATCAGACTGTAGCATACCTCAAATTATCTTTTGTATTTGAGCCACAGATGCAGAAATGTACTATTGTTGCTTCAATTGATGTAAACTCAATAAAATATGTTCTTCACTTCTACATTTAGATGTTTCATTGAATAGATTTTTAAGCTGTTTTTGTTGATGATGCTCAGTTAAAGTTTATCCAGACTTGTTTCAGTATATTCAATACAATCAGCTTAATTAGTGATCATCCAATGTAAAACAAAAAAAAATAAAAATAAATAAAACAGCTTTTATAGGTCTGTGTATAGGAGCATTAGCAGTGGAGAAAACCACTATAAATCTGGCCATGTGGGAAGTAGCAGCTCTACTGGAGGGAAGAGATTCTGCTATGACGTCATATATGTGAGATCTGATTTGTTGTCTTTTTAATTACCAATTTTTACAAGAAATCTCAGACATAGTTGAAACACACATATTTATTTATCATTTAAATGGAAGTACAACTTATGTGGGATTGAAGGCATAAGGCAAAGCAGAGCAGAAAATAGCGTTTATAGTCCCGTTTATTTACACTCATTAGATTTTTCTGTTTGGAGACCCACGAGTCGAACGAATAGGGAAGGAGACTTCGGCTCCTTGTACATTATTGCCAGGTAGCAATAAAAAGTGCTCCCCATCACTAAGTGGAACCTTCAACTAGTAACAAGAAATCTATGTGCAGGAAAAAAAACAGGAAAAGAAAAAATCTTATTCTGTTAATTGCTGAGATAAAGAGACCAAAATCGGTAGAGCTAATTCAGAGCGGTAAGGATTGGAAATCCTTGGCTCTCAACACAAGAATCTGTGCAGCTCTAGAACAGGGTAATAATGGTGAGTGCTTTAAAACTGAGGCCGCATCTGAAGGTTTTATCCATCGGAGTTTCTAGTTTCATGATGCGCATAATTAGAAGATGAAAACTGTACATGATCCACACAAATAATGAAGAACTTTCTAAATATGAGGACAATAAAAAAGCATCTAGGCGGCTCTGCTGTATCTGGTTAAAAACAAAAAAAGGCAGAACACGGAAAAATAATTTCAAACTGGCAAATATGCAGATAACTATAAAACCACATTATTCACTAAGCTTGTTGGCGGCTCCACAAATAAGCATCACATCATAAAAAGCAGTAGGTACTGACAGACCAAAACATAGCCCAGACTGAGCAGGAGAAGCGAGCTTGCATCCACAGCCTCATGAAAAATGCATAATTCCATCTCCAGTCGCATCTCTGTGTGGGGAAAGTCAAGAAGGAAGCGGGGGAGTCCTTTTGTACCGTCAGCACACCAGCGTGAGTGATGGGAGAATTGAACTAGTGTGCATTATTTGACAGCTAGTGGATCACAGTCTGAATTACTTTACTCATCAAGCATAATTAGGATGAATGTACCGTAAACAAATGTTTCTTGGCACTACTGGTACAGCGATGTATAAACAATTTAACTCGAGCAAGTTCTGACACTCGGAGCACAGAGGACAGAGACTGTCAGTTAGATGGCTTTTCAGAATTTCAGATGCAGGGAAGTGGGTTCAAAAATAAAGTTTAGGAATGGAGTGTCACGGTCTGGGTAAATCTCCTGTGTTTCTTCCTGAGTGTGTCTGCAGGTGGGTGTGGCTGAGCTTCCCCAGCTGTTGGGCATCTACATCAAGATACCAGGGTACTTAGGGAGCAGCGCGACACCACTCCACACCGGTCGATCACTCAGTTTGGGTAGATCCCATCGCCAGTCTTAACTTGACGAGTAATCTGTTTGTTGAGATTTAACCAGTTTTGTTCCGCTCTGCTCAGGTCCTCATCTCTACCTCCATCCCCTGCAACAATAACCCTGAATCTTCAAGCCACGTCTGACTGCTCTACACTGGTCCCTCACCTGCTTCCATTCGTCGGTTACCCGCTGCCGGTCCCCCCGGAGTGTTTCCCCCCGCTGGTTCACCTGCTCACCCAGACCGGACTCCCCTCTCCTACTGCTCCCCTTCTGCCTGGAAATCCGTAAGCCCTGTGCTGTCTGTTGCTTTCTTTCTCCTGCCCCAAATTCGTCAGAATTCTCACCTAGTTTCTCCTTCCTAGATCCGTCCCACTGAGCACACGCCCCCCTGACTTCTATTGTTCTGTAGAACGATAGTTCTATCGAGACGATGTTGGTGGGCACAAAGATTATTAATCAAATCTAATGTTTGATAAACGAGCAGTGGCCCAACCTAAAATACCTACAAATACACAATTACTTTGGTTTGTTTTAAAGACTTTAAGACATGGATCTTCAATTTAATCACCTAAATTAAACTATGAAGCTACAAGTTAAATTTAGAAGTTATGTTTAATAACTTTTTAGTAACAGACATAACAAACCAACAGGATGCTTTGTAATATAACAAATAATTAAACGGTTTTATGGGCTAACCTAACAGTTTTACTACACTGCTGTGGTTGATGTGTCGCTTCAGCATTTGTAATGCTGTTAGTAAGTGAGTGTTTAGTTCTGCCACAGAACAATCGTGACAGTGTAGTGGTGACTTTTCATCACATTTTACTGAATGCCTGGTCATGCAATCTGTTGTGTTTTTGTGAGTTTGCACCACTTCCAGAACAACAAAGTTTCCAGCGGTGGTTTCAGGTCATTAGAGTCAGATATTTACTCAAACACTGCCTTAGATATTTCAGTTATTTCTGTTTTCTGTAAGCATTCTAACTTCATAACTAGTCAACTCTCACAATAAAACATAGAATCAGAACAAAACTCCCACAAGTGTGCACTGACTGGTCTTGTACATCCTGAGCCTCACACTTTGTCTTTGTTTTTTCTGAAATTCATTGAGATGAATAAAACATACGTTTATTCTCACATTTAGCTTCAAATCAAAAGGTCTTCCTGGAATAAGCATTACAAAAAGATTTGGGAGTTACTTCTGGATGTGTATCGTTCCCTGTTTTATTCTCTGATTCAACCTCATTGCTGTAAAAAAATTTAATATTTTAGGTCTTTTTCTTAATTAACTACTTCAGAAATAAAAAGCATACATTTTGTGCCTGACTTTCTGAGATCAGCATGTAGTGGTCGACACAGGAACTGCAGTATTTAGTGTTATTGTTCATCAAGTCCCAGATTTAAACGAGTGAAACACAGAAATGACCAAGTATGCCTTTAAAATATGGCGTAAGGTTTCTGGTCTATTGTCTCTTGATCCATCCTGCCTGATTTATTTTACCTTTTAGTAAAGTTTTATGAAGAATAAACATTGAAACCCACCAAAAATCCCTGTTTAAAAAATTAAACACAATAAAATAAAAAGCAGCAGGACTGACTCATAAATACCAGGCCTTCTGAGGCAGCTACATTTAAGAACCTGTATTTTCAGTTTTCTTATTCTGACTCCCATGTGTCTGTATCTGCTTTCATTAGTTCAGGCAGCGATCAAAAGGGTGAACTTACACTCAAACACAAATCACTGGAAGATCTGTCCAGAACCCACAATAGCCCACAATCTCCCACTCTGCAGGAATTAACGTGAATACCCAGAGGGGCCAATTTATTGGTGAGTGAAATTCATAAGAAGATTCAGCCAAAACCTAAGAGCAGAGTTTTATACCTTTAGCTCCACGAGGGTAACTAAAGAAATGTAGAAGTAATGATTCTTTTGATTAAATTTCATGAACAATAACTATAAAAACATGTGCTATAAAACTACAAATCATTAGTTCATTATTTAAATTGTATTTATGTGATTTAATTAGAATCATTCTCGATCCACTTTGTCTTTGAGATAAATGAAATAAAGAAAATTGATGATTTGTTACAAACAGAACTAGTTTTTAAAAAAAAATATTTTTACAAAAAGAGAAATAAATAATTAATCCATAATCCCTCAACCACTCAGTGCATTTAAAAATAACACAAACATGTTATAAATCACATCTTTAAATAACGAGGAATTTAACCCTCCCACTGTCTTTATGGGTGATCCCGCGAGGCAAGATAGAAGCGCCAAGCTGCTGCAGTCGCACATTGATGACATCACGCCAAGTCTACGATGTGACAGTGGTGCCATCTGCTGGATTGTCCAAGTTTTGTCATTTCTATCAGAGTGTGTTGTTTCTGAGTTTTTTCTTAAAGCCTTATAGTTTGACAACATTTTTCAAGAAGCTGTTTTTCCCATGGTCTGACATCTGACAACTGAGACCTGACGCCTGAGAACTGACAACTGAGACCTGATAACTGAGACCTGATACCTGAGAACTAACAACTGAGACCTGACAACCGAGAACTGACAACTGAGAACTGAAAACTGACAACCGAGAACTGACAACTGAGACCTGACAACTGACAACCGAGAACTGACAACTGAGACCTGACAACTGAGACCTGACAACCGAGAACTGACAACTGAGAACTGAAAACTGACAACCGAGAACTGACAACTGAGACCTGACAACTGACAACCGAGAACTGACAACTGAGACCTGACAACTGACAACTGAGACCTGACAACTGAGAACTGAAAACTGACAACCGAGAACTGACAACTGAGACCTGACAACTGACAACTGAAAACTGACAACCGAGAACTGACAACTGAGACCTGACAACTGACAACTGAGAAATGAAAACTGACAACTGAGAACTGGCAACCGAGACCTGAGGACTGCCAACTGAGAACTGACAACTGAGACCTGACAACTGACAACTGAGACCTGACAACTGACAACTGAGAACTGAAAACTGACAACTGAGACCTGACAACTGACAACTGAGACCTGACAACTGACAACTGAGACCTGACAACTGACAACTGAGAACTGAAAACTGACAACTGAGAACTGGCAACTGAGACCTGAGGACTGCCAACTGAGAACTGACAACCGAGACCTGAGGACTGCCAACTGAGACCTGACAACTGACAACTGAGACCTGACAACTGACAACTGAGAACTGACAACCGAGACCTGAGGACTGCCAACTGAGAACTGGCAACTGAGAACTGACGACTGAGAACTAATACCTGAGAATGTTTCCTGAAGCTGTTTTTTCTGAAACCTGACCCTTTTTTCCCCATGGTCTGAAGTCTGACACCTGAGACCTGATACCTGACACTTGAGGATATCCTAAAATGTACGTTGTACGAGGAATAAACCATCAACCCTGCTCAATGGTCAACTTTCCTTACGGGGTGACACCATCGACTTATAAATATTGGACAATGGGTTTCCATAAGCTCCAATAACATGTTTTTGAGGGTAAATGGGAGGTGGCCACCACCGCCATTTTGATCGTGTCACAGGTTCCGTCAAGCCCAGACAATTCCACAAAAGGGAAGAGAGGTGGAGCTGAGGGTGTGGCTGTAAGGCTGGGATCAACTGACGACACCCGGTCGAACTAGCTACAAGCTAACCTGAAGCTAACCCAAAGCTAATGCGGAGGTGGGATCTAAGCTAATGGAGGTAGCAACCTAGCTACAACCGGAGTTAACTGTGCACAACACCAGAGCTTCTGAGTCAAAGATACGCCGGGCTGACCGCTGGGTAAAACCGGGTGGAACACAGAGGTCTCCGAGACCTCCACAAGCCAGCAGCCGCACAGCAGACAAGCGCAGCTGCGATCTGAGATGCGCAGAGCTGCCGCTGGGGAGAACCGGATGGAAAGGTTTCCATCCCAGAGCTCCACAAGCCGGCAGCCTGCGCAGCAGACAGAAGCCGCGATCAGACAGAGATGCGCCAAGCTGCGGGGAGGGGAGAAACGGGTGGAAAACATCGGTCTCCCGAGAGCTCCACAAGCCGATAGTCGGAACCCAGCTCCACCAACATGTTATATTTTAACCCATTTTCTAAAGTGCAGCATTATGTTAAATGCACTGGGTTTTACCCTATTACATTTAAATTTCATGGTTAAACAGTACATGTTAAAATCTAAGCTCAGCTCGGCAGTGACCTAAAATACATAAATATAATTTCACTTACCGAAAAAATGAAGTGGAGACTCCTTGGACGCTCTATTAGTGCAATTAATGCCACAGCAAGTCATTTTGTCCAACAACTGCACAAACAATATCCAAAAAAGAATACACAAACACAGAGACTCAAAATCCCGGAGCAGTTTCCAAGCCAGACCGAGGCTCTACTGAGGCCTTTCCACGGAGCTAGCTCTGTGGTCACGTGGGTCTGAGGCGGTGGTCACGTGGGTCTGATGCTCATCAATTATACAGAATTTTAGGCTTTTAATACACTTAAACAGAAGAGTGAGAAAAAAATTCACCCCCCTCAGAGTTGTCATGAGTGTAAACTAGATCATTTAAACAAAAAACATGTTTTGGTACCAAGCTGTAAACATGTTTATTTCTGCTGTGAAATTGGTATTTTTAACATGGGAGTCAACGAGGATTTGCTCGCTTCTGACACCAGCCCCCAGTGGATGAGGGTGGAACTGCAATTTTTGGTACTTCCGGGCTGGCTTCAATTTTAAAGCCGCATTGTGGGGGCCTGTGTGACACCCATTAGGACATTGGGAGGGTTAAGCTAACTTCTCATTTAAGGGCTTCTTCTGTTTTTCTTTTAAAATCTGCCAAATGTTTTTTAACGGTGCCATACACAGAATTAAGTCAGGCTGCTTTAATATTTTACTTTGAATGTTTTCACCTTTAAAGAAGTGCTGCTGAAAAAGCAGCAGAATGATCTTTGACATTGGTTTACTAAAATGGGAAATCCAAGCCTCAAAAATGTCTATTTGCAGCAGATGTTCCCATGGAATGGTTTAAAAGCATTAACTTTGTTCAATTAAATAACTTTTTTCTATGTTAAAGGACAATTTATACAGCGATTCATCATTTTATGTAACATGTTTGATGGTGTAAAACGATGGTGTCTTTGGTCCAGATTTGGATGAGTTTGGAGTAAAAGGACATACGTTTTACACAAAGAAAGATGTTCAGTTTCAAAAGCAGATAGTTACAGTTTAATTAAGACTAGATATTGTTATTTTTAGTGAAAGAAAAGGAAAAAATGCATCTGAAGCTAGAAAAAGCGGACTGATTCATATTTAATTAAACAAGTTTTCTCGTTAGTTTTCTTTTGACTGATAAAGCCACCGTATTTAATAAAGACCTTGAGGTGCTGCGAACTTTACATTAACCTAACCACATTGTAATCACATGTGTTTTGATAATGTTACCTTGAAAGATGTCTTTCATAAATTTGACATAAAAGTTGCCGCAGCACTTCTCTGTAAATGAGACCGAAGGGTAAAATTGCCTCTGCACTTATGTAAAGAAGTCGGGTCCTTGGAACATAAAAACATCTGGATCTACTGCTTTGATTGTGTGTATGATTCCCTTTGGTTTATTTAATGATATTGAACACCTCCAGTATCTGGAAGTAGAATTCTTCACTTAACATGTATTATTTATTTATTTATTTTGTCAGATAACTTTAGGCACGTTTGCATCATCAGAAGTTCTGGGTACTTTTACTGGACCTTCGTGGCCATTTCAGGACCTGAGCAGTACCTGAACTGGTGTTTGTATTGGGAATGGCCTGGTACAGTTGTTGAGTAGGACTTGTGGTTACCTCCTGCTGATTGGTTGTAATGCAGAAGGAAATGACATCAGAAGACATCACCAAACAACCATAATTTGCAAAACTGGAAGAGTTGCTGATGAAGCAGAATGGAAGGAAATGAAAAGAAACAGCTTTCATGCTGCTTTAAAATCGCAATTTGAAAACTGACAGCACCAAAATAATGTGGAGGAAATACCCCACAAAGCCTTACGTCATTGGTGGTTTGTGGTCTCAGACATGAAGAATAATGATTCTTCTGACCACTGAATGACACTCTCACTGTGCCCAGAATTGGACTAAAATATAGTGTACCTAAACAGAGTAAAACTTTTAATGGTATTAAAGAGCAAGTTCACTGAGAAACCGCGTTTTACTTGTTAATTTTAACATATGACCAGTCACTCTGAGTTCCACATGCAGGCTAAACGTCAAAAACAGTCTTCACCCCATTCCTGCATAAGCCGCTGACAGGAAGTAGATGAGGAAATGTTTGAGTAAGAAAAAGCCACTAAGATCTATGACACAGTGTAAATTAGCATTCATGGGCTTCATCTTGGCTCGCGATGCGGAAGGCAGCGCCGGAGCTTTTTTCCCACAGAGATTGACTGGCATGGCATTCATTTATACTAAAGATCACTGCAAATGTATTTTAAAAACAAGTGAACTTGGTGTTTCATGTCTGTGGACACCTGATCAGTGTCATCGCTCACTGCCGAAGTAGTGGCAATATGCTGATGACATAGCAAAATCCTGAAAGGACTGAGTTTGTGCGTTGATACGAATGAGAGGAAAGAGCCATCCTATCTACTCTTCACTTTTCTCCCTCTCAGAAGTGTCCTGGAACTCCTAAAGGGGAAACATGACTTTTATCTATCTTGTTTTTAAAGGTTTAGACAAACCTTTTTTGACTGATTTGTTTGCTTTTAAATGTAATAATAAAACTAAGTGTGTCTCAGTATGGTGCAGAAATGCTCCCTGGTAGTCTTAAAGTGTGGGCGGATGTGGTTTTCTGTAGCATGTTGATGATGCCGAGCTTACGTGCATGGCCAGGATGCTGCGGGGGATGAGCTCTCTGTACTGCCGGATGGTAAAGTGCCACGTCTTGATCCTCATCAGATCATCGAAGGCAAACTCCAGTATCAAACGACCCTCTGTACAAACCTGGACAAAGATCACACACTCGGCGTTACTTCTCATTCCTCCTCAGCCTGATAGCGCTCTTACAAGTCTTTAACCAGCTGACAAAAAGCTCTCAGCTAATGTAACCAGAAAAACATAAATAATAACATTTAGTGTTCATCGCTCTGATATAATTTTGGTATAAATGCTGGAAGTGTTTTGCCACATTTCAAGGACTTTGTAGCATGAAACAAGCTATTACGTTCTCAATATTTGCTCTGTCCTTGGGCTTCTAAAACGCAAAAATAAATGTAATGTGGAGAGGGGTGGGTTTACGCCAGAGACAAAAGAACTTCAGGTCAGAGAGAGTTGCCAATTAGGAGGAGATGGAGAGAGGCAGAGCAGGGGAAACAGTGAGGGGGAAAAAAACTGTTTTTCGCCCCTTTAGCTGAATCCAGTGCTTGCCGAGGCTCTAACGCTTCCCCCGTATTCCGTTGCTGTGACAACCAGGCAAAGAGATGGGAGAGAGAGAGAGAGAGAGAGAAATGGAGAGACAGACAGAGAAGGGGGGAAAAAATCAGCTGATTAGTTGGCATGGCAACAGCAAAGATGTAATCCCACCAGACACACTCTAATCAATGCCCCCAGCGCAGATGGTCTCCTGAGGATCAACAAGAAAGAGGCTAGCGGCCATACTGAACCCCCACTCCCCTCCTCCCCCTCACCCCACCACCACAAACCTCCCCCTTCTCACCCCTACCCCCAATCCCAACCCACTACCTCTGCTCCTCACATGCCAACACACTCATTTAGAAAAAGGAAAGCTTAAAAAAATGCTGAACACATATCTTCACCGTCTCAACCAGGAACTCCTCCAGTAGAATATTTGCTGAAATGTTAAACCAAAAGAAAAAAAATTTTAATTTACAATTAAATATTTCACTATGGGATGAACCATAACACCTTAGCAATAAAATAAGTAATGAAACATAAAAAATATGTAAAACACACACAAAGTTACATGCAGATTCAAACTGGAATAAAAGCACATACACAAAATATGCTTATTTATGTTCTCATTATGTTTTCTATGCATACACGTGACTTTATTATTTGTTTACAGAAAATGAACTAGGTTTTGTGTTTTGTTTCCCCCTATGTTGCTCTATGTCCTCAAATAAGACTAACAAAAACAACAAAAATAGTCAAAAATCAATACAAAATGGGAATACTGTGATCAGGATTTAATAAACAGAGGCAATTCAATGTGCTTTCTATTAACAGGAGTAGCATTAACATAAAAAATATTTTGACAGCACAATAAAAAAAAACAATTAACTTTGAGTTTAAGAAAAAAATAGTTAAAGGGTGAGTAGTTACAGTGCAAAGCTACAGTAAAAGAAACATTCATTCAACGGCTAATGAATACATGAACGTTTTCTATTTGGATTTAAAACTTACTACAGACGGGCACATTTGAGGTCGTGTGGAGGCTGATTCCATTTGTGTGCAGCTTAGTAGCTAAAAGCAGCTTCACCATGTTTAAAAATCCTTTTATTGGAAATTAACACACTTTTTAATGATTCCGCAAAGAGTTTTAAGCAAACATGTTTGTGTAGTTTTAATCAACTTGTAGCTGCAAATGTGACACAATTTAATGTTTTAGATAAACTATATTTAAATGTTTAATTAAATGTGTTTACTTCTCTGGCAAAATACGCATTTTAAAGACTCAATAAACCATTTTTTGCCACAAAGCTAAAAGTGTTTTAGAGCCTTTTGGCGAGTTGAATTTTTCTGGATTGGACAACAACCTACTTAAATTAATTTCAAATTGAAAAGCTGCAAACTTCATAATACTTCAAAAGTACTCTTATAAATAAAAGAATAATGATGCACATTTGCATTTGGATGTTGTGGCAATATTGTAGTTTATAATGTGAAAAATAAAATAAAATAAAAACACACAGCAATGTAGTTATTTTTTTCTGTTTGCTTTCTTCCTTTGAACCAAACTGCATCCTTGTAATTATGTGCTGGATTGGTTTTCTGCCCCCTAGCTGATGACTTCTATTAAAACACAAAATATTAAGGCATGCATAAAAACAACAATTAATTCTTTGCATCATTTATGTACATGTTGTTTTCATAGTAATGTTTTTTACCCACAAGCGATGAAAAACTTTGAATTGTATTCACTTGTAAGCCAGTGTCTTGTGATGCTTCCCAGGTCTATTGCCTACAGTGAAACAACAATGCACTATTGATTCCTTCTCCCACAGAGCCAACTGTGTCCTATAAGCATTGCTTCCAGTATTGCTCCTATTTCTCTCTTTAAGCTTTCTGCTTCTTGGTAACTGATAAAGAAAATTGCCAAAATCAGAACCAGACGAAAAAAATCCCCTTTAAGTGCCAAGTGTAATGCATGTGCAGGAATTTCTCTGCAAAGTGCTGATGCAAAGACGAAAAAAATAAAATAAAAATAAAAAATAAAAGGCGCCAAGCTTGCTCCTTTTTTAGGAGACGATTCAATCATAAAAGCTAGTTATTTCTTCACCGTGGAAGTCTGTTAGCTAAACCTAATATTTCTCCTAGTGGCTGTAGCCATTATTTTTAGCTAAATGGTGTTCTCTTATGAAAGTAAAAAGGAAGAAAATCCCTATGAATTAAAAAATGTTCCATTAAACAGCACAGCCCCTCACAGAGTGCCCCCATTGATTTAGGAGCAGGGTCATAAATCTTCCACACAACGGGGCTGAGATCTCGGGCTCCAAAGAACAAGAAAGAATAACAGTGTCCTGCAGCTGAGGCACTATTCAATACTGTACCTCAACCTGACAATCAATTAACAGAGACGCTGCAGGCCATTAAATGTAATATCATGAGCTTTTCTAACCATTTATAAGCATAACCAAAAGTAGATTTGACTCTGATTTGCCGCTGCCAGTGTGCCCAAGGGCAGCTGTGGCTACTTTGTAGCTCATTATCACCAGTGTGTGAATGTGTGTGAGAATGGATGAATGATACACCGTAGTGTAAAGTGCTTTGGGGTTTTCTGAAAGGCGCTATAGAGGTGTGGGTCATTTATCATAAATCTCATCTGTTTGTGCCCCATAATGCTGCAGCTGCATTGAGAAAGATGCTGCTCATCATGAGGTTTTAGGGAGGACATTTTTGCTACTTTATGTCTAGCTTGTTACCACATTTTCAGTCTAATGGCAAATGAATGCCTTACTAGTTTTGAACAGTTTAACATTTGGTAAAACTATGCCCTGCGATGGACTGGCAACCTGCCCAGGGTGTACCTTGCCTGCTTGACCGGAGATTGCTGGAGACAGACTCCAGCCCCCGCTGACCCTGCGTGAACAAGTGGGTATAGAGAATGTATGGATGGATGGAGCAAAACTATGATTGATTAAAGGAAATGATAAAAAATCAGCTGACACTTTAGAAGAAGTACAATAATTAGACTCTTTCATGAACAGTTCAAATGAATTAGGTAATGAATGAAACCATGCTTTAAGAAGAAGGATGGTACTGTCTAAGACAGAGAAACAACACTATTCCACTGATGGTTCAGAGTTTTGATATTAAGAGGAAGTGCAGCCCTCATATTTGTATTCCCATGATCTTGGATTGCTCAGTTATGGGGGGACAATCCCGGTTACCTACCACAATTACTCGTGAGTTGGGGAAACACTACCAAAAGTTCAAATTTTAATGAGACTGTAAACACTGATTTAAGTCAGCGGGTGGCAGAGTTGCACTATTCAGTGGTGATTAAAATTTGTGACAATTTAAAATGTGAAACAAAAAGATTTTTTATCACAATGGGATAATCAAGTATTCTTTATTTCGGACTCTTAGTCCAATTCACAGAAGTTAAAAACATTGCACAGGTAAGATGCAATGAAATAAGCACATTATGACATACTAAAGAGACTAAATAATCATGAGAACAAGAACAAGAGACAAAAACAGTAGCGTGAAAATAAAGTACACATTAGTGTAACTCCCTGTAATCTAAAAAAGAACAAGACTCTTATATGATAGTGTGGATCACCGTAAAAATGCAGAATTTAGGATAAGAAATGTTTCAGATAACTATTTTTGAGACATTTTGAGATGGAGTAAAACATGTGAATATCAACTACTGATTTTTTAAAACTTAATAAGTCATAAGGACATGTCAAAACATGGATGGACAAGACTGCTATATACACAGAGAATAGCCCTGGAAGTCTAGATGACCCAAAAACAAATACTTTTTTCAGGAGTGTCAATGCCTGAAAAAGAACTGTATAAGAAAATGCACAATGTTGCACCACAAAACACATACGGGTTGTCACAGAAAGTAGAAAACACATATTTGTTTCAAATCCAAAGTCGGGTCATACCAAAGACTTTCAAAAAATGGGACCCAATGCCTCCCTGCTTGACACTCAGCTTTAGGGGTTGGATTGGTGGGTTAAACCACCAACTAGTTCCCAAGCACAGCCACTGCTGCAGCTCATCGCTCCCCCAGGGGATGGGTCAAATGAGGAGAAAATGTTTCACACACCAGTGTGACAACTTGTGGGACTTTAACTTTTAGGCTGCACGGTGGCACAGTTGGAGGCACTGTTGCCTAACAGTAAGAACGTCGTATGTTTGAATCCTGGCTGAAGCCCTTCTCTGTGTAACATGCTCTCCTTATGCACATGCTGTTTTCTTACGAACACTGGTTTCCTCCTACAGACCAAAAACACGCCTGTCAGGTTAACTGATGATTCTGTTATTTCCTAGGTGAGAGGTAGTGTCACTAGTTGTATGATAGACTGGTAGATTGTCCAGGGTGTTAGGCACCAGCTCCCTGCAACCCTACTGAGTCAGAAAATGAATGAATAAATGATTTGTGCTGACTTTTTAAAACACCATCACATCACATGTGGAAGTTTAGCTTTCAGAAGGCGTGGAAGAGCACGTCCTTCAGCAGGTAACAACAGAAGCGCGTGTTTGTACAGTAAAACTAAAATGCAAAACAATCATTGTGTTTTTCACAT